GATCAGAAAATATAAAGAACCCATCCGACAAATAAGTGTATGAAATCAAAGATACTTTCAGAAAAAGCTGCGGCGGAGGAAAATATGTGATAAGAAAATTAACAAGTACTTCAAGTAAAAACAAAAATTCTGCAGGTTTCAAGGAATATTTGAGTGCATCTAGACTAGCGATAGTATGCCCACTATCCAAAAACATTGAATTTTACATCCATGTCATATCACGAGTTGGGAGGAGTGCCAAAGGTTGGAGTCGAATATATGGGGTAAATGTGGATATTCGACAAAAAATTTTGTGGCAAAAATAAGTGATGAAAAAGCAAAGGCAAAAACTTAAAATAAGCAAATACACGACAAGCATCGAGAGATTCCTTATATATATATATATATGTGAGAGCGAAAATGAGGCTTTAGCCAAGTAAACGTACAGTGGGCAAGATGCAATAAGATGGTGAGAGAGCATTAGGTAATTATTGTGACATGTTTAATAAGCTGAAAAGTGAATAAACTCTCGAAATGGTATCAAATGATGTAAAGTGAGAAGCTAAACCAGTAGGTGAATCCATGAATAGGCAATAGGACTGATAACCTATACCACCGGAAACACCCGAAGATACATACAATTTGACGTGAAAGGAAATAGAAAGAAAAATAGATATATAGGGAACTAGGTGAATAAATGAATGGAGACATGGAGAAGTAGATTTCGATATAAAAAAGTAATATCGAGAACAGGTCAGTCGACCACCTGTACAAATCCCCCCCCAGTGCCATTGGAACCAGTAACCAGATTCCCAGCAGTGGTGGCAGCTGCAAACCCACAGCCAGAGACTGCGACAGATTCATATTGAGTCAATCCGAGGCCAGCACTGCCGGTTATACCTCCACTGAGTCCTCCCCCCCCCCCACTGCTGAGAACGCCGGTACCTCCACTACCAGGAGAACCGATGAGTGAGGTTGTTATTCCAACATTCCCGAGGCCAGTTCCACCACCAGTAGCTCCACCTCCAGGACCACCCGTGCCTCCACCCAAACTGACGCCAGTGCGGTGCTTCTTGGATTTTTTCTTAGTGCCTGAAAAAAGCTTTCGATAAACGTCGGAGCGCAAGAAGCGGCAATAAGAGTCAGACTTCATTAAATGGAATATGTGTTCTTCAGCCTCTTCAAAGCAATAACGGTCGAGGCAGATCGAAGAGACTGATGAAGCCTCAGCAACGCGCCGCCGCACCGAGTCGGCGACTCGACTGTCTACGTTCAGCGGATCAGGCGCATTCGGAGCCAAATACTGGGCGTAAATGGCTTGAATACGACGTCCGACATCCCGTAAAGGAGCACCTTTAAGTTCCTAAATAAGAATGAGAAGTAGGTAGTAAAGAATGTAGAGAGATGTAAAGTTTCATGAAATGAGAACGGGATTAACAGGAATGAGGATAGTCTATGGATATAAAGGGGATAAAATGTTATCAACGATATTGAATAGAAAATGTTTGATAAGAAAAAGGGGATGGGAGATAAAATTTAAAAAATTAAAAGAGCACTGAGGACTTAATGGGTGTAAAAGTTTAGACTCAGACAGTGATTTCTGCCTACCTGACATTCCTGCCAGAAGCAAAGATTTTCAGCCGAAAACTCTTTTTCTAGCCAATGCCGAAATTCCTCCCGGCCTGCTGAGTCCTTGAGCAATTCCTGAATCGAAAAGCTCCACCGTTTAACGCGGCGAATAGGCAGATCTCGGAGGCGAAAGTCAGTAGTCCAATATTCTGGGTTATCAGTGATCCAGGGATTCATTGTGCTGGCAGATTCGAGAACTGATTCTGTAAGTTGTATCACCATTAATATGAAAATACAGGAATTAAGTAGGCTCGAGTCAAATTATTCAATAAGCAAAACAATTATATTTACTAGAATGCAACTATTTAGGTAAGAAATGAAAAAGATGCAGTGTATAATGATAATGACCAAAACTAATTTTATGCAGAACGTTTTGACTTTACTTAAAGTAATTAATAACAGTAAAAAAATAAAAAAACAGCTACGTGTGCCTTTACAGATAAATTGCTGAATTCGGCAAATCATTAATGAAACAATATCAACCTTTTAATAAAGAAATAAAAAAATTTAAACGAATGAATAATAAATAAATGAATCAGAATTATTGCCAAGAGAAACTATTTTTATGAGCTATGCTAGTTTACTGGTCAGTCCAACTAGGTCGCCCTGACAACACGACCAAGTCGCGAAAACGTCGAGCCCTTTTCAAAAGGCGAACTAGTTTGCCTATAGCATAATACTAAATAACGATGCATCCATATCTTCGGAGAATTAGGGGCTATCTTATTTGTTGTGAATAGGTAATCTCCTTAAATACTGACAGACAAATTCTTGCTAAGATATATTAATTCGACCTAAAAAATAAGTAATATTATAAAGAGTGGTCGCATTAAATAGGTTATAGAAGTTTAGCAAAAGAATTTAATTAAAGCATGGAGAAGCCAACTTTCAGCCCTGATCTTGGAGACTCGGATCGCCCATACTTTGTTTTTATACCCTTTAATATATCTCTTTGCAAAATAACAATCAGTGTCTAAGATAAGATCGAAGACGTACTAGTAGCCGATTGGTGCTTTAACACTACGCAAAAAGAAATGAAAATTTGCTTGTCTGTGGTTCAATTTTGTGGTCTAACTCAGAGATTGGTTACCAACTTCAACACTGTA